TAATAAGATAGATAGATAGATAGATAGATAGATAGATAGATAGATAAGATAGATAGATAGATAAGATAGATAGATAGATAGATAGATAATAATAAGATAGATAGATAGATAGATAGATAGATAGATAGATAGATAGATAGATAGATAATAGATGATAGATAATAAAATAGATAGATAGATAGAGGTCAGAAGAAACTGAATTGAAATCAACATATACATGTAGTTGTACATACAGATATATTTATTTAAATTAGATACTTTATAAAATTACATAACAAGAATTAGGGGTAGATGATTGCCGAATATTTTGTCATAGTGGCTGAATTTTTACCAAACTTCAGCAGATTAGTTAAAGAACTGGTTTGCGGTGAAATTATTTTGATTTGATTTGTTTGCTTTCTTTGCTCAGCGACAGAGAAGAATTCAAAAGGATCGACTAGTGAATGAGTTCACCACAGCGCTTACAAATTTCCAGCGGGTCCAAAGACAAGCTGCTCAGAAGGAGAGAGAATTTGTGGCCAGAGTTCGGGCCAGTTCTAGGGTATCAGTAAGTATAATTAATTAATCCACACTTGCACTACTAATTCTGGAAGATACTGAAAGAACTAGAATAGATGATATTATTTCTTTTCCCATTACAATGTATGTTTTAGAGTGCCTGAAGTACAGTATTAATATCATTTCTGTGCAATCCGCTACTAAAGTCCGTTTAGGAAATGCAGTTGATCAAATGCCTGATCTTCTGTAATCGCAATAAATTATACATTAGATAAATAGTTTGAGACAAGAGGAAATAATAACTTGAGAGATTTTCTCGTGTCCAGGAATCATGCCAGCCCAAGTCAGATCTGAATATAGTGACATGATGGACCAAAAAAGAGGACTGTCGTCTTTATTTTTGTCAGTGTGTGGGATTTACAGACACCTGAATAGAATAATTAACACTGTGTGGTGCAGCTATTTGATACTATACTTGCCTAAGTAAATATTTACCCTAAGACTCTCGGCATTTTTTTTTCTTCTGTTCAATCATACCTGATTCTTAGACACTACCCAGACAAGTCTCTCCAAGTTTTCTTGGCAAAGTTTTTCAGAAATGGTTTGCCAGTGCTAGCTTCCTGGGGTAGAGAGAAAGTAACTGATCCAAAGTCACCTAACTGGCTTTGTGCTTAAGACAAGACTAGAAGTCATAGTCGCTTGGTTTCTAACTGTAAGAGCCAAAGGCATTGCCTTCTTCCCATGAATCCTCGATGCCTTAACCAATCAGTACACCAAACCATCTCTCTAATCATTACTTTCTGCTATTTTTTTCTTCGGAGTTGAAGTCTACATTGAGCAGTGAATCTTAAGCAGTTTTTACTGAACTTGGAAGTGTATTAACTTGATCCTTATTTAGGTGAAGTTAAAACTGATAGAATATTTTAATCTCTTCATCCCATACAACCTCCTGCACCTTCCCCTCTCCTCTAAAAAGCCTTTATAGAGGATGGGGATATCAGATAAAACTGCTGCTGTGGACGGAAAGGATAATCTAAAATTGGATCACTCTTGCACTGATCTCACAATATTTAGAGGAATGCCCCAACCGTCTCTGAAGGATGCTCAGGATCACAATAATTAGAAAAGGCAGTTTAGTCTTTAATCTGCTAGACTTCCTTTTTTATATTACTATTGTAAGCAGTTGCATCTAACCTTATCCCAGTTGTTTTTCCCTGAGCATTATAAGATCTGATATCCTACATAGATATCCACTCTTGTTTTCTGAAAACAGGAAAATAAAATATTCCCAACCCACTCAGATGGCTAATCTCTAACCTCCATGACATCCCATTTCTGTTTTGCCTTCATTCTCTGTCTTTCAGTTTTTATTATCACAATGCACAAATCTTCGTGCCTATGTTTAATCAGAAAGATGCTAGGTGCTGGGGGTGGTGGTTGTTTTTGTTTTGGTCTTTTAAATGTTCTATATTAAGCCATAGTCTAAATCACATTTATGCTTGGATTTGGGCAACATACAGCATTGAATGCTTGTGGTATACAAATCTTCTAATACCAGATTCTAGAACAACATTTCATAGACCCCTTGATGTCTTCTTGTTATATCAGAGTTTAATTTGGAACTACAGTTCTCCAGATCTGGTTTCTTATTAAGTGCTGAACTCTTGCTGGTGAGCATTGAAGTACATTTGACTCAGTTTCCAAAGTTGCAACTTGTTATTTTCATATCCCTTGACAGGGTGGTGCCACAGAAGAAAGTTACAGAGAAGGAACCCTTGTATCTTGGGATAGGTAAGAAATATGAAAAATCAAAGTATGAAAAAACCCCTGTGTTTAATTTGATTGCAACAGCAATAGCACTTAGACTTATATACAGCTTCCTAGCACTTTATAGAACTCTCTAAGTGGTTTGCAGACTCTGTAAACTCCTCATTTTACTGACTTCCGAAGGATGGAAGGCTGGGTCAACCTTGAGCCAGTTAGGATCAAACACCTGGCAGGGGAAGCCTTCAATAATGCATTCTAACCACTGTGCCACCACGGCTTCTTATTAGAGATATAAATCCTTGCATCTCTAATAAGCAACAATAGTACAACACAAAGTACACTCTGATTTTAACTTGATATTCTGTGTTTTCAGAATTATGTTTTTTTCCCTCATTGTTAATGTGCATTGTTCGAAAGTCCCTTAGTTTAGATGGTCTATCTCCCATCATTATTGTGTACAATTTGAAGAGAAATTGGAGGATTGATAGGAGTGGCAGATTAACTCTAAGAGCCAAAGGCATTGCCTTCTTCCCATGAATCCTCTAGTGTACAAACAGATCATCCATGAAAATCATGGATAGTATACTATCATGACATGTAACAGGGCAGGGGTTGGCAACCTTAAACACTCAAAGAGCCACAAAGGTCCTAACCGGAGCTCCCTGTTCAATTCTGGAACTGACCAGACTCTATGGCGGTTCCCCTACCATAGAATCTCCTCCTAGCGCGGCATCCTTTTTCCTCTACCTGTCCAAACCAAAAGCCCTATCAATTGTGGAGCCAACTAGCAATAGGGAGCTGCAGCAGAGGGATGAAAGAGCCACATGCGGCTCCAGAGAGAATAGGGAGGAAAAGACAGAATTTGAGGTGCATCTCTTTTAATGCAGTAAATATATTTTTTCCATATATAATAGCCTAATAGTGCATAATGTACTATGTATGTGTAGTGCATAATATGTTCTGTATATGTTTAACCCAAAGCCAACCTCAGACCCAAGTACTAGATGAAGAAATCACAGAAGATGACCTTCGGCTCATTGAAGAAAGAGAATCGGCCATCAGGCAGCTGGAGGTGAGCACTGGCCAATGACATCAAGAACAAGATGTTATTTATTATATTATGTCCGTGAACTAAAAGAGCTCGAGATGGAACTGGTTGCCCTTTAAGTTATTAATTCCTATAATTAATAAGTACAGCGTTACTCAGGACATCACATAGCATTACCTTACTTTACAAGAGTTTAAAGTTTGCTTTCTTCATGGATATCAAAGTATTAGACCATTAAAATGGTCTTTCATAATCTTGAAGATCTGCTAGGCTCTCAATTCCCATTGGAAGTTAGAGTCTGATTCCTAAAATGAATTTCCCCAGTTTTGAGGTAAATACTGCTATAGAATAACCTAAGTGTAATCCACACATTCAGCAGAGAACTTGCTAAGACAAAAGTACACCCATTTGTAAAATGCAAAGTCTTTGAATTTAATTAAGGCTGTGGAACCAGAAATACTGGATACTTCTGTCCTCGTTATTGTTGTATAATATAAACATGAAATGAATAATTGCCTCAGAATTCTTCTAAGTTTTGTATTCTTACTCAGGATGTCTGATCAATGCAATAAAATGATTTTATTGGAAAAATTAAGCCTAAAATTATATTTTTAAAAAGTTAAAATGATTTTATTGGAAGAATTAAGCCTAAAATTATATTTTTAAAAAGGTAGGAAATGAACACAGTCATATTCATGCTTACATTCGGCATTTAAAACACATTTATTCTACTTTGTACTTTGTGATTTTTTTGTTCTATTTTTGCTTTTAATTAAGCAATATGCATACAAATACACAAAATTTGCTCATGCCTGTGATACTGGTGATACACACACACACACATATATACATATATCATATTTCACTGTGATTGATGTATAATCTCTCTTAATAAACAACCCATTCATAATTTTTATCCTATCCTTCAAATTTACATTCCCCAAGGGTGGTTTTTCTAGTTTTCTCAAATTGAAAACTGCTTCCAAACTAGCTGTCTCATCAAAACATCTCTGTCCTACGTCTGTTTCCTCCTTTTCTTTCTACTCTAAATTGCTTGTGGTTTATTCCTGCGATGGTATTGTTCAGTGTTGAACATTGTTTTAATACAGTTTCTTTCTTTGTAGTCAGACATTCTTGACATAAATGAAATATTTAAAGATCTGGGAATGATGATTCATGAACAAGGAGATGTAATAGGTAAGCAAAGGTCAACCTTTTGAAACCTTGCCTTTTTGCCGCATTTGGGCATGCTAGTTATATTGTATTCGTTTTTACAAGTTGTAGCAGTTGAGGAAAAATCTATAATTAATTAGGAAAAAGACTTACATAAAGAGGAAATTTGGTACACCAGAATCTGAAGCAAGATTGATTTCAAAAGCTTAGTCGTCTCAAGGTCCTTGAATATGTTATATAGTTAGGATGAGAGTTTTAGCTCAAATTCATTGGGAGGGGCAATTGGTTATGGAATGCCTTGTTCTATTTCAATATATTATCATCTGTTGTGCAGGTACCTTCATGTAACATCAGGTGTTCCATTTCTTTGAGAACAAGAATAATCAAGAGTTATAATTTTTTAAATTGTTCCCTGGTATTTTCCAGGTTTTCCTGAAGCTTTACTTCTTGTAGCTTTACCCTACAGAGAGTTCAGATCAGAGTTAAAATGGTCAGAATGCATAGCAGAATTATTAGAAGTAGTCTTGTTTAATTAGAACTTTAAAAATAATAATAACATGCACAGAATACCTGAGCAATGAGGTTTTTTAAAAAGTCTTTTATAGCATGGTTTATACATAGCTCATTTCAAAACAAAATAGTTATGATTATAATACAGGAGGTGAGATCCATAATAAAAAGGAATTACAATATGTTTGAAACTATGCTTCAAAACAAGAACAAGAATGGCCTCTACTAAAATGCCAGTCATTTATGAATTCTTTTTCTCCCCTCCACCCCATAATTTACATGTATTCAACATAGCTTCTCCCATTTTGAAGTGTTTAGTCTCTTTTTCTCTGTCTTGATTCCTATTGTTTGGGACATAAAACACACATTTTCCTGCTATCAGGATACCGTTATTGCCATTTCCAGCAGCACCCAGCACAGGTACTCCTCGACGTATGACCACAATTGGGACCAAAATTCCTGTTGCTAAGGCAGTTGTTAAGTGAGTTGTGCCTTTTTGACATGGTTGTTAAGTGAATCACTGCATTAGTTGAGCTAATCATGTGGTCATTAAACAAATCCAGCTACTCCCATTGACTTGACTTATCAGTAGCCAACTGAAAGCATGACCATAGGACATTGCAACCATCCTCCATACATGCTGGTTACCCAGTCCCCAAATTTTGATAATGGGACTATGGGAACATTACAACGATTACAAGTGCAAGGACTGGTCATAAGTCACTTTGTTCAGTGTTGTTGTAACTTCGAATCTCACTCAACAAATGGTTATAAGTCGAGGACTATCTGTATTGGAAAAGATGTAGCGGCTCAGTGTCTTAATGAAGCTGGAGGTGGTTTCTGCTCCAGTGGTTCGAGGTCTAGCATTGTGTGTCGCGTGAGCTCCTGTCATTCACCTCAGCTTCTGTCCACCTAAAAGTGTAAAAATATGTTCTATGTGAATAGATAAAATAGGTACCACTTTGGTGGAAGGAATGAGCTGGTGCTTCATGCAGGCCGTCAGATTCTTACCCTCTGAACCTTCCTGGTTGCAGGACCCCATATGCGAGGGAATTCCAGAGAGGGAAGGGGCCTTGGATGACACTAAAGGAAGATCTGCTTGGTTTTTTTTTCTGGCCCAAAGCCAGCTTGCCCTCTTGTGGCACGCTATGGGAAGTATACGAGCATTTCTTACGCAGAGCCAGTACCTTGGCAGCCAAACTTCTAGTCTTCAATTGCACTGTAGTTTCCTGGCTAATGTAACAACCCCATTCGCTAATAATAATAATAATAATACCTGTCTTGGAACATGTACCATTGTCCTTGCTTTTAATTCAATACCTTTTCAAATAATTGTTCTTGGGATTGATCTCCAAAGCTACAAAATGGATCTAAAAATATAAAGTCTCAGAACAAGATGTTTCTGCATGCATGTGAAATGTAGAAGACAAATTGTAATGCTTTTTTCTCCTTTCTCAAAGATAGCATAGAAGCTAATGTAGAAACAGCCGAAGTCCACGTTCAGCAAGCAAATCAGCAATTGTCAAGAGCATCCGACTACCAGGTAAAGATTGCCATAATCAAAAGTACCGCAGATAATCCTCATTTAGTAACTGCAATTGGTTCTGATGACTTAATTATTTAGTGAAATGGTTGCTAAATGAACATGTAACACAGGGAGAGAGGGAGGGAGAGACAGAGGAGAGAGAGATGCTACCACATCACTGGTTCCTGCTCTTTCATTCAGATAAAGTTCGGTGGGATCTTTGGTACTGTCTGACCTTGATATTTTTCTTGCAGACGTTTCATTACCAAACTAGGTAACATAATCAGTGAAACATCTGTATGAAAATAACCAAGTTCAAAGAGCACTAAAGATCCCTTGATTCAACCCTGAGCTACAAATATTCTCTTCTATAGATAATGTTCTCTAGTATAATAAACTGGTACCTAGCATATTTCTTTGCCTCTTTTTTGCCTCTGGCAAGGCATAGACATTGCTTAAACAAGCTATCTCTTCCAGAGCTGTTTTTCTTAGCAGGACAGTGCAACCTTCAAGAGTGTTAACTGCAAGTTAACAAGCTTGGCTTTGTGATCTTAGTTGATTAGAACCCACTAGGTGCAACTGGTCTGAAACTGACCAGACTTTAATCGGTTTCATACCGAAGGCTTTTCTTCTTGTCAATATGGGCATTGCTTAGAAAATGAACTTTTTATTACCGTGCTAAACATGGACTGCCTGTATTTTAGACACTTTTCATGCATTAAGAGCTTAAACTTTACATTTCAGATTAGGCATACTTTTGCGCTTCTCCTGGCTTTCCAAGGCAATGCTTCCTTGCCTTGCAAGCCAAGCATCTTGTGTAGTCTGAATTTTGTCAGTATGGCTCAACTGCCTCTTCTTTCTTGAGCCCTTCTGCTTTAATAGTTTGCCTCAAGACCGGCTGGATTGCAGCCAAGTAATGGTAGTTAATGCTTTTACTGCATATGAAGGACACAGTTTGATGCATTTGTTATCCCTTGCTAAGCCAGAGTAATGCACTTATGTGAAGTTTTGTAAGCACAGAAATCCTTCTCAATGAGAGAATGCTATTTCTTGGGGAACTACAAACAGTCCAGCCAACTTTGGTTACAGGTAGTTCTTGTTTCGTGTCTGCCTTGTTTAAGCAACCATTCACGGTTATGATAGCAATGAAAAAATAATATTATGGCCAATTTGTGATCCTGCAAAACAAAGTAAAGATGAAGGAACCTCATAAATGCAATCGTGGTTTTACTTGGCAACCATTTTTTTTAATAATCAAGTTGTCAGTCCCAAAAGTGGTTCTTAAGTGAGAAATGCCTGTGCAGTTACATTATTGTGCCTTAGTACCTCAGTGATTCAGCTATTTAAAGCAGTTAACAATTAACCCTTTAACAATTTGAACAAAGCAGTTGAAAGACGAACAGCAGTAGATGCAAGCATTTTGTATTGACCCATCAGTACCAAACTTACAATAACACAGTTAAAAAAAACCAATATAAGAGCATAAGGTCATAAGCTATTAGAGTCAGCTATTGCTATTTCACACTTCAGGTTGCAAGTTGCGATGCTTGCATGACTGAACTAGTTGCCCTTTGAAAAGCTCTGCTTGTATAAAAAGGGAAGGGCCGGTGTCCCTTTTCCTCTCAGTAGTGTTTTTCTGTGGAGAGGCTTCCCATACTGTCCCACCAGCCTTACAAGACAAGATGCACTTCTCAGAGTGCACCCCAAAAAATTGTCAGTAACCCACAACTGCCAGTTCCATACTTAACCATTATGCCATACTTATCATACTTTAAATTCAGAAACCCCCACACTTCATATTTGCTCCGCAATCGCACAACACTGCCTTTGATGTAAAATTCCAGTGAAAAGTAAATTTGATTATTGATTGTCCAGATTCTGGAAAAATATATATATCTGACCCAGCACAAAATTTAGCAGATTTTGATGCCACCTGCCAGTGCTGGAAAACTCTGAATGGGATGCATGACATCTGTCAAGACTGTCTGTTTAAATGGGGCAGAGTATCTTCCCCTGAAGATGACTGTGGTGCTCCTTGTCAGACACTGGATCATTTAGTGACTAGCTGCCCTTGGAGAGCTTATACAGAAGGAAAAGCAGATTTTCTCCAACTAACGAACACTGCTCTCGATTGATTAAATGGCCTAAATCAGGAGTGTCAAACTCTCAAGGCCTGGGGGGGGGGGAGATCCAGCCCATGGGGTGCTTAGATCTGGCCTGTGGGGCCACCCTGGAGACAGCGAAGGACTGGCCTGCAGTGCTTCTGCCAGCAAAAACTGAGCTCGGGAGGGCTGCGGTCCTACGGAGCTCCATTTTCGCTGGCAGAGGAGGCCATTGCAGCCAAAAATGGAGCTCGGGAGCCTGCTTTCGCAGAGCGCTCGGGTCACCACAGGCGCCCCCAGCACGAGTGACGTCAAGCTGGCCACGCCCACCCCGGCCCCCAAAGGTCAAACGCAACCCTGATGCGGCCTTCAAAGAAATTGGATTTGACACCCCTAGCCTAGATATTAATATACTTGTTCCATTCTCATGAACTAACATAGTTCAAAGTGCAACCTATAATTTATATATAACTTCTTGAGTTCCTCATGCCTTACAAAAGCGACTACATATTTCCATCATACACATAGTATTATGTGCTCCTTTTATAGCAGTAGCACTTAGACTTATATACCACTTTACAGTGCTTTACAGCCCTCTCTAAGTGGTTTACAGAGTCAGCCTATTGCCCCCAACAATCTGGGTCCTCATTCTACCATCCTGGGAAGGATGGAAGGATGAGTCAACCTTGAGCCTGGTGAAATTTGAACTGCCAAATGTAGGCAGCTGGCTGCAGAAGTAGCTTGCAATCCTTCACTCTAACCACTGAGCCTCAGAGGCTCCTATATTTGTATATATATTTATATATCTTTATATATTTTTACTACTGTCATCCATATACAAGTAGTCCTTGACTTACAACAGTTCACTTAATGACCATTCAAAGTTACAGCGCTACTGAAAAAAGTGACTTACAATTTTTTTTCATGCTTATGACCATTGTAGCATTCCCATGATCACCTGATCAAAATTTGGATGCTGCGCAACTGGTTCATGTTTATGACTCATATAGTGTCTCGGGATCATGTGATACAAATTTTGGGATCTTTTGGCAAGCAAAGTCCAGGGGGAAGCCAGATTCACTTAACAATTGTAGCAAGAAATGTCATAAAATGGAGGGGAATTCACTTAATGACTATCTCGCTTAGCCACCAGAAACGTTGGTCTCAATTGTGGTCGTAAGTGAAGGACTACCTGCACTCTTTTGTCATACACTAAATAAATAAATTTCTGTAGAGGGAATCTAGGGCATAAAAGCCTAATATTGAAACAGGCAAAAGCAACTCATTGAAGCACTTATTTGATGATCGCATGTGATCAAATGTATATTTCTGCACCTTTGGAAAGTGAAACTAATAGTGTCCTTTTTTTCTCTCTCTCCCCTCATTCAGCGCAAGTCCCGGAAGAAAATATGCATCATCATCCTTATACTTGCAATAGGATTAATTGTCCTTGGTCTAATTATATGGGGAACAGTGAAGTCATAGGATCAATTACGCAAGAGGCTTCTGGTCATGTCCCATGTTGAAAGTTGTTCAGTAAATGATACGTCAAACTTGATAATTTCTGCTTTATCACAAGGTGCATTTTTAATCCAAGAGTGCTTTTTCTTAGCTTCTGTACTAGGATTAATTTGAAGTTATCACTTATATCTAATTCACCAATATTTAACCCTGGGGTGGGCAAGTTTTTGTATAGTACCTCTCCTTTGCATTTCTTCTCCTCTGGACCAAACTACTTGGAATTCTGCATACAAGGAGAATTTTAGCTTATTGGACCAAGTGGGCTAACCTTTTACACATGGATCAAAGGCTAGATAGAGGGTTGTGCATGCGGGCTGTCAGTTGTCAAACACCAATTTAAAATATCAATTTAACTCCAACTTTATAGGAACATTTTTTTTAACAAAGTATGTCCCATCTTTGAGATATCATGTATTGTTCATTGTCTCATTCCATTAATCAGAGAATGGTCTGCCCATTTAGCTCACTCCGTGCCAAGCTTAATTCTAGTAGGTTCTTGGAGAATGCTTATTGTCATTTTCAAAAATGTGTTTCTGCTGTTTTTCTTTTGCTTAAAAACTTTGCCTTTGTATTGCCACATTTTTGGTGTATAAACCTGATACTGGATATCTGCAAACCTGACCAATTCTCATTGAACAAGAAAACTTGGGCAGTGTAGTTTTGTGTGTATAACTTTACAGTTGGGACTTTGGGACACATTTAAAACAAGTTGTTTGCACCTTAATTTATACACTCCTTAGGTGATTGAAGATTAAAGTCTATGGGCAAAGTTAATGTGAATAGCTGCTTAACTGCAAATTTACTGCAAATGCCCATAGTTTGCAATTCTCTCTTTGGAGAAGTATTGTTAGTTATGTTGTGGAACACAACTGAATGAGGCAGTGGGAGCTCTGTGAGTGGATTTGAGTCATGGATCTGTAATCCTACATATATTTGTGACCCACAGGGTCCCCAAGGAGTGGATGAAACTTTTAAACTGGGAGTAAAACACAGTCAGGTCATCTGGCTCCCTATTTGCATGACCTCAGAATAAAGGGGGAGATCTTGCGTAGAGCAATCAATAACAGTTTGAATTATATTTGAACTACTTCAATCAACTGCCACAATGAACAGCAGATCTTATATCCAATTTTTAATAAAGCAATTAATCCTCTTTTCCTCATCAAACCTTTTGATTTATGAAGAATTGCATACCATTTAATTGTCTCAAGATTAAAGGTTTTTAAAACTGCTTTTTTGGGTGCCATTTTGAGATAACTTCCATTTAAAAATTTGTTATTTGCCAGCTAATCAATTCTTTGCTTTTTAAAAAATGTATTAAATTGTACTGTATAAATTAAACTTATTAAATTACTGTATAAATGTTACATTTTTTTGTACAGCAGTTTGATAGAGAAGCAGCATTTATAGTGTGAACTCTTGAGACTTAAGATTTTTGGGGAGGGAAGGGGTCTGAAATAAAGTCAAACCTGGATTATACCATCTAAATAAAGATACCTTAAAAAGCGAATCTGTTGCTGTTATGTTTAATTGTTCTATCCTTACGTGTAACATTTTGAAAGGAAGTAATCGTCGGGTGAAACGTACTCCAGAAAAAGAAGACCAACAAGGCTAGTAAAAATAATACTGCTTCATTTGAATTTACTACAATTGCCCTGCTGGTGGTAGTATTGTTACATTGATTCTCTTTTACAGATGGGTCCCTGCCATAAGGCAATCCTCTGGTCTCAATGGACATAGCGATTCAGATAAAGATTGTACACGCAATATTTCCCCTAGTGCAGTACAATCAAGTACAATTCTATTCGTCATTTTATTAAAAAAAAAAAAAAAAAAGTAAAAATTACATCACTAAGAACGATCTTGTCTAAGTTCCTAAAAGCACTTTTGAGCCTTGGGAGAACTAGAACACATTTTGATTTGAGTTCCCTGAACAAATATAGAATTGCCTAGAAAGTTAATCTTGCATTCTGCTTACCATGGTCCAAAGATACATTACTAATTATTTCTGACAGACATGAGAGAGAGAGGGAGAGGGAGGGAGAGAGAGGGGGGGGAGAAATATGATCTGAAACTCATCTGCATATGCATTAAGTAAATAAAGACTTGTCTATTATTAAAATATTACTGGTGGTTTTGATAACTGGCCAAATTAAGATGCAGAAAAGCTCTAGTTGTGGATTATTATTTTATTAAATAATCCAATTTTGACTTATTTAGCCAAACTGTTATAGCAATAGCAATAACACTTAGACTTATATACCGCTTCACAGTGCTTTACAGCCCTCTCTAAGCGGTTTACAGAGTCAGCATATTGCTCCCAACAATCTGGGTCCTCATTTTACCCACCTCGGAAGGATGGAAGGCTGAGTCAACCTTGAGCCTGGTGAGATTTGAACTGCCAAGCAGCCGGCACTCAGCAGAAGTAGCTTGCAGTACTGCATTCTAAACACTACACCAAGGCTATCAGACACAGGTGAAATTCAACAAATTAGAATATCGTGCAAAAGTTCATTTATTTCAATAATGCAACTTAAAAGGTGAAACTAATATATGAAACAGACTCATTCCATGCAAAGCAAGATAGTTCAAGCCATGATTTGTCCTATTTGAGATGATTATGGCTTATAGCTCATGAAAACCCCAAATCCACAATCTCAGAAAATTAGAATATTACATACAACCAATAAAACAAGGATTGTACATAGAACAATATCGGACCTCTTGAAAAGTATAAGCATGCATATGTACTCAGTACTTGGTTTGGGTCCCTTTTGCAGCAATTACTGCCTCAATGTGGCATGGCATGGAAGCTATCAGCCTGTGGCACTGCTGAGGTGTTATGGAAGACCAGGATGCTTCAATAGCGGCCTTCAGCTCTTCTGCATTGTTCGGTCTCATGTCTCTCATCTTTCTCTTGGCAATGCCCCATAGATTCTCGATGGGGCTCAGGTCAGGCGAATTTGCTGGCCAATCAAGCACAGTAATCCCACGGTCATTGAACCAGATTCTTGGTGCTTTTGGCATTGTGGGCAGGTGCCAAGTCATGCTGGAAAATGAAGTCAGCATCCCCATAAAGCTCATCTGCGGAAGGAAGCATGAAGTGCTCCAAAATCTCCTGGTAGATGACTGTGTTGACCCTGGACTTAATGAAGCACAGTGGACCAACACCAGCAGATGACATGGCTCCCCAAATCAACACAGACTGTGGAAACTTCACACTGGACTTCAATCATCTTGCAGTGTGTGCTTCTCCATTCTTCCTCCAGACTCTGGATCCTTGGTTTCCAAATGAGATGCAAAAGTTGCTCTCATCAGAAAAGAGGACTTTGGACCACTGAGGAACAGACCAGTTCTGTTTTTCTTTAGCCCAGGTAAGATGCTTCTGATGTTATTTGTTGTTCAGGAGCGGCTTGACAAGAGGAATACGACATTTGAAGCCCATGTCCAGGATCCATCTCTGTGTGGTGGCTCTTGATGCACTGACTCCAGCCTCAGTCCGCTCCTTGTGAAAGTCCCCAACATTTTTGAATGGCCTTTTCCTGACAATCCTCTCCAGGCTGCAGTCATCCCTGCTGCTTGTGCACCTTTTTCTTCCACACTTTTCCCTTCCACATAACTTTCTAATAATGTGCTTTGATACAGCACTTTGGGAACATCCAACTTCATTTGCAATTACCTTTTGAGGCTTTCCCTCCTTATGGAGGGTGTCAATGATGGTTTTCTGCACAACTGTCAGATCAGCAGTCTTTCCCATGATTGTGATTCCTACTGAACCAAACTGAGAGACCATTTAAAGGCTCAGGAACCCTTTGCAGGTGTTATGGCTTAATTAGCTGATTAGAGTGGGACATTTTGAGCCTAGAATATTGAACCTTTTCACAATATTCTAATTTTCTGAGGTTGTGGATTTGGGGGTTTTCATGAGCTGTAAGTCATAATCATCTCAATTATGACAAATCATGGCTTGAACTATCTTGCTTCGCATATAATGAATCTATCTCATATATTAGATTCACATTTTAAGTTGCATTACTGAAATAAATGAACTTTTGCACAATATTCTATTTTTTTGAGTTTCACCTGTATAAGGACACATTTATTCTAGTATGAAAGCTTCAAAAACTCCAATCTTATCATAGTGGAATTCAATCCGAACAACCATAATGGTGGCTAGAGGGACCAAAATGCTTCTGGATTTAATATCTGGCATTACTTGGCTCCTGTGCTATCTGATTTTAATATTTTATTTATTTATTTATAAGAATAAATAAATGGGCTCTTTTATACCCATGATGGCATAACAAAAATGGTGGATTGCTATAGCCTGCCAATTAGGAAACAAGGTAAATGAAAATTCAGGATTGTTAAAATATCCAGAACAACCAAAAATATGGCACTAATCAACCTCATTGTCTTCTCTTAATGTCTGGTCTATGACTTGCAATATGCACCATTTTTGAAAATCACCAAATCCCTGAAGTTTATGACACATAAAGCACATTTTTAACATTCTATAGCTGCCAAAAGTTGTGTGGCCCTGAATCGCACAAAGAGATTCTTGTTCCTCTACTACAACTTCAGTTGAAGAGGTGACTGCTCCAGTATAATGTAGTTCTTCATCCATCACACCAATCAAGGAAGAAATCCGTATTCTCAAGAAATTCAAGTCAAGTTTGAATATTATTCTGGCAGATCCACTTTTTCAGACTGATATTTTGTCACCATAACTGTACTGGAGAAAAATATTCAAAACTTTATACCTTGATCTGTTTCTTAAATACAAGCTAAATCTGTTTGGAACTACTAGCTCTTGCACATGACTCTTTAACTTAGTAAAGCCAAGGATTGGCTCCCGCGACACTTTTAAGAGAACACAATTGTGTCCATTGTATC